CTAAGAGACTTTGTAGCACAGCTGAGAATAAAACAAACAGGTACAAAAGCAGTCTTGCCTCTAATCAGATTTTTCTTCTTTTCTTTTAAATACAATTATTTCTCTACCAAATCACATTAATTTCTGTCTTTTTTTTTTCTTTTAGCGGGGAGGAGGAAGTCAAGTTCAAGTGCTGTCATACTTTATACTGCTTATCATGACTATATTCAAACCATGCTGCATCTTCTAAGCTTAGGGATAAACATAAATTTTGCATGGCTTTTTACTTCCGTTATTATTGAACGAGCAACACAGCTAAGTAAAATGAGTTGTAGTCTACACTCATTTATGCATTATACATAAAGTAGTTGGTTAAAGTTTAGTACACTACATGTCTAAAAAATCTTTGTAAACAATAGGTTTGTATGTATATGATCAAATACCAAGAAAGAAAAAAAAAAAGTATGAAGATAACAGGGTTAACCTGCAAGTCTAATTAGGTCAGCCAAACTTTTAACTGGAAGAATGATCTACATGAATAGACACTTACTTGTATTTGAGACTCAAAGCTGAGTTTAGAGGCTGATAAAATGTTGTTTGGAAATTATTAACGGATATAATCTTGAATTTACAAATATGGACTACTAAATTTTTGTTGAGCAGAAACTTATTTTTAAAAGCATCAATGCATTCTCAATGATTTTATTCAGTACTTATACACCTTAGCAAACTGAATGAATTCTAATTGTATACATTTATCATTTCTAAGCATCTAAGCCTATTTTCTTTCTCTGAATGCACACAGAATTCTCATAGGATTCAAAAGAACCTGTGTGCATGTATCTGGTGACAGCCCTTTCTGTATTATAGGCAGGATGACACTACCCTGGAAGTAAAATTGATATGAATTTTGAAGGACTTAGGTCTACAGGATCGGGCTCTGTATTCAAAAAAGAAGAATAGTGGCTAGCTCTAAAAAGTATTTATATACAGCAAGGTAGGATTCCCTGACTGAATCTAGTTCTGTAACTCCATTGAAAGGGTTCAGCTAACATCATAAACCATGAGAGTGAAGCTCAAACAGTTTATGAATAGCAACTGTCACACAGATTGAATTTCTTCTTAGCTATTCAGTCAAGGGGTATTTGTTATTGCTTATAATATTTAGAAAATCATTTTGGAGTTGAGGTATTGAAAGCTTCACAGCATAACAAAAAGAAGCATTGAGTGGTCATTTTATTTAAACATTTAATTTTCATTTAAACATTTAAACATTTCTGTCCTTCAGGGCAGAAGAAATACCATACTTCTTATTAAAAACGGGCAGAATTATAATAGAATGCAGTTACAGAACAATGACTTAATAAAGGATCCCAAAGCACATATGAAAAACAAAAGGGCCACGAAAATAACTTTGTTATGATACATGCAGGCAAATTTTTGGTTGCCAACAGCTTTTCAATAAAAAAAACCCCAAAACTTAAGTATAATGAACAATCTCTCTAGTTTTAAAGGGGCAATGCAATAAAACTTCAACCCAAAACTTAAGTATAATGAACAAGTTTTAAAGGGGCAATGCAATAAAACTTCATGTCTTATACTGGACAAACCATTTTGCCTTTTCTCTTTCAGGAGCTTGTAAAACAGCTAATAATAAGATAATAATAATTAAGTACCCTGTGTGCACTTAGATACATATTTATTGTGGATTTCTCATTAGCTCATTTAGGGACAGAGTTACCACATCATTAGTGGAGAGTCATACACTGGAAATGTCATTTTTGTGAGGAACCACTACTTTGCTCCTTATGGTCAGATATTTCTCAAAAGGTTTCCAATATACAAAACTAATTAGGAAAGTGCTGCCTAAAGCTGTAAAATGTTACTTGAAGAAAGGCATCAAAAAGCTGATTTGTCTTGCAACAGCAGTCCATCAAATAAGATTGCATGAGAAGACAGTTACAAATACTTCTCTTTTTTGCCTTTTTTTTGACTCGTATCAGCTTATTTTCTGAAGCTGCACTAGTTCCAGTTTCTGGAGATTTTTTTTTCCTGTACAAATGTTATGATGTCATTTTTAGCTTTAGATTTATTTGTAGCTAGAGCTAGAGAAGGCTGTGGGAATTTTCCCACTAGCCTGCCATTATCATTCTTTTACAGAAGGAACAATGTAACCGCCTTTATTAAGGCCATGTCAAAATCATATATTCAGAAGGGACCAGTAATCGTGACTGTTTCAGTTTCAGAGTACCAGCTATGGAGTGCCAACACCTTTAAAAAAGATGTTTTTCATCTGGCACATATTCAACATCTTGTTACAGCAGTGCTGTAAATTTAAACTCGCTCTGTAACTACATGATCACAAGATCAGCTATAAAAGAAGTTGAAAGAGTAGGCAGTTGGGGTTAAAGTTCACTATCAATTGGAATCCTCATTCATGATTAAACATAATATGAAACTGCATCTTTGCCTTAAAAAAAAACACAAAACAAAACAAAAAGCAAAACAAAAAAACCCCACTCTGAATAAAAATTTTCTTATTATATTGAACCTACTAGGATGAATATATGAACTTTTACACTATGTTCCTGAACCAAACTGCAGTCTGCATAAGTGTAAATATTCTGCTATGAATAAGCAAATTTTCCCTATTTGACTGTCGCCATGTCTGCTTAGAGAGTTTTGTTGTTATTGTTGCTCCATTTCTTCTATCTCTATATCAAAATGGTGGCATGCGAGAGCGTTTTGGAATGTGCAAAGTAACATCCAAAAGGAGACCATCCTGGAAATATAAGGATCAAGGCATAAGATTCACTATTAATTGATCTAACTTTACGTTCATAAACATCCAATTCTTCAAGAGTTCATAAAGCATGTTATTGTAATCCTGGGGAGGGTTTCTTTGCATGTCATAATAGGTAATTTAAGATTAACCACCACCACTACCCCCCCACCCCAAAAAAAAGCGAAAACCCATGCATTCAGTTTCCATTTAGTGCAGAGAAACAGACATCTAAATGAAAATCTAGTCCCTCAGCTATTTTTCATTCATACTCCAGTGAATTAATATGATGCTACTGTCAGGGCCCTGAGTGCACCAGCAAGATGTACCAGCCCTCCCCCTGCTTCCTCAGGGTTTGCTGTCTGTGTTCAAGATCAGGTCTGATAAGATGAACCTCAGATCAGATGTCTGGGACAAAAGCAAAGTTAATGATGAAGAACTTTGAGGAGGCTTGGATGGGGCTTCAGCCCCTGATTTCGGAGCTGCACTGAAGCTCAGCCCCATGTCTAGGGTAGGCTGCCTGTCTTGGGTTGGCTTTCCTTGGCTGCCATGATCTCCTGAGTGGGTCTCAGCTGGCCCCAGTTCCCCAACCCTGCTCTGCTCCCTTTCCTGGGCTCTGGGGGGCTGCACTGGGGGGTGAGGGCGCCTCTGGCTCCCCACACCCTGCCCCTGCCCAGCACCCTGCCCTGCTGCTCCCTGACAGCTGAAACATGATGAGGCTTCCCAGTTTGGGACCCTGTCTACCTAACTGTCTTCCAGGTATAAACATGTCTAAAGGAAAGTAGTTTCTTCCTATCCCTCCTCAAAATCATTTCCACTACAATATCGTTTTGATTGTATCACGTGATCAGGAGGCAGAATTTAAGTTTGAGGTCTTTACAAGTGAATCTGACAAAAAATACACTTGGTCATGCTTCACCTCTCCTCCAGGAGCTAAGTTAAATCTAAGCAGCTGGCTACAAAGGGCCAGGTCACAGGCCCAAGGACCAGCACAGTATTATTCGTTGTATTAAATTGGTGGCATGGCCTCTTGTGAAATTTTGTCACAGGCCAGTGACTATGCTTCCACACAGGTTAGGGATTAAAATGGACTAGGAATAATTCCTAATAGGCAGCTTGGATGCAGCCATCCAGTTTTGGACTTTAGAGAGTTCAGCTGGACAATTGTATGGTTATACCATGCCTCAGGGCCAGAGAACAGTCCCTGGCCAATTACAAGTGACCCTATGAATGCAAGAATCATGAAGCCACCAGAGGCCAGGAGAAGAGCAGGAAAGAGGCAAAGGACAAAACTGTGGCCACAGTCTTTAGTGAGTTATCCCATTTTATATTACATCATCATCGGATTAAAGTGACAGAAGTGTCCAAAGCTCAAGGATGACCTTGCTTTGGTATGTGGACAGTATGTTGTCCACAAGCTGTGGACAACTGTTTGGAAAAAGTGAGCAACTCTTACCATCTACATCAGTTGTGGTCCATATCAGAGGTTACCCAGATGATTAACATCATATCTCTCTGAGGCCTTCGGTACACGGGATTGTAATTAAGGTATAGGCACAGAAGAAGTACGCATGACACTAGAGAATTTCAAGCAAAGAAGACCCTTCCTGGTATCTTTTATGTCTAGGTGCCTATGGGCAGACCAGATTGCACTCTGTAACAGAGGTGAGTTTCTGGGTATTTGAGATTCAGTGTTAACAGGATTGTAATGGGCAGATTTCTACAATCTAAAGAAAGTTTATAACACATAGGAAAGTTGCCATCCTTATCATAACTTTTTTTATCTCTGGTTGTTTACTGAAACAGGCATTCCTAAATTTTTCTGCACAAATGCCCTCCACTCATTCAAATCAACAGAGGTTTTAAGTTCTGCTTTTAGCAACGGGGGTCCAAGGCTCCAAATCTCAGCTCAAGGCAAGATGATAAGAACATTTTAAAAATAAGGTTTAAAAAACAAGCTACTGGGTATCTATTTTGTTGCATATTTTAAGAGTTTTCACTGTGGTAAATTAAACATAAATGCAACAGTGTCAAAATGCCAAGGATGAAAAAAGACACAAAAGAAAAAAATAGCAATGGAAAAATTGCTATTCACTCCCTCCGAATGAATAGCAAAGGTTCAGTCCTTCCGAGGAGACCAGGACAGACCCAGAGATGATGATGTTACCAGGTTTCCTTCCTATGCTTGGAATGAGGAAAAAATTATTAGGATTAGTAACAATGGACTAGGGTTAGTAACATGACAAATTACTATCTCCTGGTGCAAGGAGAGATTATGACCCTGGTTAATGAGGCTGAAGCTGATCAAGGGGAGTGTGAACACAGTGACACTGCACTGCCAGTGCCCTGGTCTGAGAGCAGCCAAGCTTCACTCACTGCCTTGCTGAATAAGCCTCCAGTAGCTCCCAGAAGTACATCATCTAAAGTAAACCTATTAATCACAATAGCTCGGACAAAACAAGCATCTCCTGTAGGCCACGACAATACACTTCCGTGGATACTGTGTACTGCTTTTGTAACAACCTCTAACATCAACAGAAGCTTTCAAACGGAGAGGTTTATTTCAAGCAGTTGATTTACACAATTTCTATGATTTATCTGTAGTGTCCTTTAATCATAGTTTTATATAACTATGCTTATAAGTCTGAGGTTTTCTCCTGTTGTGTTTGTTTGTTGAGTTTTTTTTAAGGCAATGTCTTCACATTCATAATTTAAATTTGGGATTGATGGGAAACTGAGGGGAAAAGTCCTTCTTGAGGGGTGGAGGTAAGAGCATGAAGGGCTGATAGACTGTGCAGCCAAGAGAACTGAAAGGAGCTAAGAAAATGGGTGTTGGAAATGTGTTGAGTAGAGGTCAGGGAGAGATGTGGATTGTCAGGGGTTGTAAGCACTTCAGCAAGAGAGAGCATACCATCATTGAGCAGACTTGCAAGAGCATGGAAGACACAACGAAAATGGTTAAAATATGGCAGGACATATTCCACCTAGTTAGAAGTGCAAAGCCTTCCTTCGACCCAGACTCCTTCCTTCTGCACCTGCAGGTTGCTGAAGCAGTCTGTTCTCCACTATTTTGCATGGAAAAGATGAAATAATGTTTTGTTTGTTTAGAACTATCTAAAAATTACTCCACGTAGCCTTGATGATTGGCAAATGTGGGAAGTGTGAACTGTGTGAGTGCAACCTAAAAAGATGCAGACTTTAAATGGGGAAAATGTAAAGTGTTTAGAAAACAGAAACTGTTGATGAAAGATGTACCTACGTGAAATGGCCTTCAACTTGGATTAGCTTTAACAATGAAGCACATTAACAGCTATATAAAAAAAATAATCAAAATATTTAAACACTGTTTTGCAGCCTTAACTATAAACCTATTAGAGTGTTTTCATAACTTAATTTAAAATGTTGCAGTTGGTGAAGGTCATGCCATAAAAGAACATATAATTTCTGACAATCATTTACACAACTCCAGAGATTAATAGCATCCATCTGTTATGCTTAGTCCTGTGAAACTTTTAAATGCATATATTTGAATAGAATCCTTGTTTGTTTGGGGTTTTTTCAAATTCGCTTTCTAGTTCTACAGACCCTGAATACTACACCCTTAACTGATGTAAATAAGCTTAATTCCTGTAGCCAGGCTGTAGCCCCTGGGTTTATGAGACATGGGAAGTCTGTAACCATCAACAGATTAGTATAATTGCCACAGTGAAAAATAACTAATGTCAGTCTTAGAATGTCATAGCACTAAACACACCATTTTTTTCTCTTCTATTTATGATGTGATGCCTTTGCATGTGTTAAAAAAATAATGAGAACAAAAAAATGCTGTTCTAGAAAGATAGACATATAAATATTTGAATCGAAAAAGAAAAGGGTCATTCAAAGTAAACATGTCTGTCTGAGAAACTCAGTATTTGACCCATAGGAACTCAGCTCTACAACTTGTACCCCAAAAAACTGAAATTCACTGTATTTATTTAAGGATGTACATCTCTCTATCATGAGAATAGTGTGATGGCATTATTGTTCTCAGTTAATTCAACCTGAAGACTGGAAAAAGGCCAGCAGTGAAGAGAGTTATAATCTACAAACACCGAAAGCAGAAATACCTATGATGACAAAAATGTTCCCACTGTGAAGAAAGTAGTAAATTTACTCCCAGATTAAAAATGATATTTTAAGATGATTCACATATGAACCAAAGAACGTCATTAGATTTTTTCATGAAGTGTTTTAAAATATTTAAATACTCACTTCTCAGAAGTCCACATTAGAGAGCAAGACTAGGAACTCAGAAGAACTAGGTTACACTGACACTGCCTCACAGGGAAATTGTGGTCAAATGAGCTAATCATTTCTGAGTTTCATTTCTATAATGTGCAAAATTAGGTGTAAAAGTGTGCATTGGTATTAACTACTATAGATAACAGTTCTTAGATTTCACACATTTTAGGAAGGGGTGGACTGTTTCTGTCAAGCAGTCTCATTTTTTACTTAAGACAAGACAGAGCGCGTCTCTGGTCACCTCTGAGGACAACTCATGACCACTGTTTCAGCCAGATGTGGAAAGACAGAGGGACTCGTCTCACCTAACATCAACCATCTAACATTTCAACGTCGCATCTAGGCGATGGCAAGAGACGGTCACCTCCTTCATCCCTTCCTAAAACGGGTCGTGCAACAGGCGGGAGGAGCAGCCCTCTGGAGATGCCTGTCTCTGCTGCCTGTAGGGTGGAGATGGTTTAGGTATGGTTTAGTGATGATGCTCCTTGTTTGTTGTGTGGGTGTCTATTTTTGTCAGTTAGGTTGACGGTTGGACAAGATGATCTCTAAGGTCCCTTCCAACCTAGAAGATTCTGTGATTCTGTGAGATGCCTGTCCCTCCTGCCTGTAGGGTGGAGATGCCTGTCCCTCCTGAGTGTAGGGAAACCCAGAGGATCAGTTTAGACTGCACAGGCACAACCTGAGGTTGCTACAGATAGGTGAGGGGCATCTCCCCTCCGAGCCCCGAGGGACAGCGCAACTCTTGGACACGTGCAACCCTGCGGCTGAAGCCTGGGCGGGTTTTTTGATTGAAATTACTTTTTTATTCCCCCCCCCCTCCCCTTTTTTCTTTCTTTTCGGTGCCGGGGTCGCTTGACAGCGTCACACCGCGGTGGCCCCACGCTCTTTTATCCCCCGGGAAGCGCCCCCCCCGTCTTCCCACACCGAGCCGCCGCGGTGTCCCGCAACCCCGGG